AAAAAAAAGGATATATAAAACTGACTGTGCCCTCCCACTTGGGACTTTTCAATAGCTTCCTCTCACCTGCAGGAAAATGTAATGCTCCCTAGCATGGCTTATGAGGCCCATCGTACCCAGAATGCTTTCTACCTCTCCAGTGTAATTTGTCTCTCTACCTCCTGAGTTTTGCTCAAGTACCCACCATCATGCCCCACACTTCTACGTTTCATCTCATGCTGTTTCCTCTGCTTCGAAAGTCCTTCATAGTTTCTCCTCATGGGTTAAGTCCATGTGTTAGTTTCATCTTAGTCATTTTCTCCTGGAAGACTTCTTTGAGTCCAACAATGTGTTAAGTGCTCTTTCTCTATGTTCCAAGGCACCCTATATGCATCTCCAGCACAATATTTATTCCTTTCACATTAGAACGGCCTCTCTCTGCCTGTCTTCCCTCACTGAGATAGAACTCCCTGTGGGCAGAGCCCTCATCTTACTCATCTTGGGATCTGCTGGGATCTTTGGGAATCTACCTAGAAGAGTGCCTTGCACACAACAGGCATTTAATATGTGCTTCTTTCTGTTCTTACACTGGTCAAGCTCATTTCTGTCTTCTCGTATTTGCACATGCTGTTTCATCTACCTGGAAGGTTCTTCGTCAATCAACATCAGCATAGCTGTCATCTTGTTAGAAAGGCCTTCCCTGAGCACCCACTCTAAAGTAACTATATGTTATCTAGGCTGCCTTGCACTTAATCATCATCATCTACTTGTTCTTGTGTGTGCATGCACTTGTTTATTTTCTCTTCCTCTCATAGAATGTAATCTTCATGAGGGCAGGGATAATCAGTCTTGTTCACTACTGTCTCCCAACATCTAGCTAGTGCTTGGCACATACCAGGCTTTTAATAAATATTAGTTGGATAAATAAATAATAAATGATTATTAAACTAAATTGAAATGTAAGGTATATGCCCAAGTGGGTCACTGAAAGGAAAAAAAGAGACATTTAATGTATAGAATTCTATATGTTAACCCAATCAAATGAAGTCTCATTTACTCTACCATGCTATTAAAAAACAAAAAACAAAAAGTGTAGAAAATGGGCACACTTCAACACCATTGGTGGATGAATGAACTAGTACAGCCTTTCTGGACACCCTTTTACCTGGAAATCACATTTTATAAGGTGATAATTGAGAGGTACAGACAAATATATGTTCAAGGACATATGACATATTTTATAATAGTGAAATCTTGGAAATAAATGTAAGCTCTGTTTATAGTCAATGACATATATCAATTACATGCATAGTGCAAAAAGCTTGTTACAAATTATTTACATTTTTGTAAAATAATATATTGGATGTGTTCATGTTTTCAATTATGCACATAAAGATTTTTGCAAACATGTTCACCAAGATGATAATAATCTATCTGTGGATTCTAAGATTTTTGTGAGGGATTTTTGGGGGTCATCTTTATACTTTGTTAGATTCTTTAAATTGTATACAGTGAACTTTTTTTTTGAAAATGTTTTCCAAATGGGAAAATAAGCAAACTAACATGTAGAATGAATTTTGTTTGCCTAATTATTTAAAGAATGATACTATATTCTAGTATATTTCATTCTTTCTTCTATATTGGCAACTAGGCTTGAAATGTTGATTTCTCTTTCTCCATAGGTCTCATGACACGTCTCCGATATCCAGTTGGGCTGATGGGCAGTTGTTTACCGGCCACAGCTGGGTTTAGCTACGGTAAAGTGTGTACACATGAAGTAAAATAGCAAATCCAGTAGTAAAGAATCTACTCTGGCTGGGTGCCATGGCTCATGCCTGTTGTAATCCTAGCACTTTGGGAGGCTGAGGCAGGAGGATCACCTAAGGTCAGGGGTTCGAGACTAGCCTGGCCAAAATGGCGACAGCCCATCTCTACTAAAAATACAAAAAATTAGCCAGATTTAGTTAGCTACTTGGGAGGCTGAGGCAGGAGAATCGCTTGAACCCAGGAGGCGGAGGTTGCGGTGAGCCAAGATTATGCTGTTGCACTCCAGCCTGGGCAGCAGAGTGAGGCTCTGTCTCTAAATAAATAAATAAATAAATAAAAGAAAAGAATCTACTCCAAGTTCCCTGTTGGTTCTTTGAACCCTCAGCGCTTCTGAAATGTCTATCTCGAAACATTTCTTCTCAAAGTTTAAATGACCCTTCTGAGATGTTTAAATATGTGCATCTCGTAAGGGCAATACAAACTTTGGGGAGAAATGCTTCAGTTTTCCTTCAGATTTTACTGTTACATCATCAGTAGCCTTAATCTTTACCCCTTTGATAAGTTACTATTCTTTTTATTTGGATGTTTGCTTTGTTGTTCTTTGGTTACAAGGGTGCCTGGGAATGATTCCTCTCCAAGAGAAGCTACTAAAAAGAGCTGCTAAAAGTATCTTCTTCATCCTTTTTTTCCCCAAATAGAATGTGCACAAAGTTCAATTTGAGTCACTTTCTAGCAAATATGCTATTTGTAAAACTGTGAGAATAAATAAGTGCCAGGGAACCCTATTTTCTAATTTGGTGACATTTTTTTCTTTTAAACTTCTCTCGTTAGTGGGATTCAGAATATACTGAAGAAAAGTAATAACACAATTATATTGGGAAAGAAGTAACTGGGACTCAGGGTTTCATTAAGTTAAGTGGAGTGGAAGCAGGATTTCTAGCTATTATTGGTGCTTGTATTATTCCTCTGGTCCCCAGATGCTATACATAATACAAAGTTCCACCATTAACAATTTATTTAAGTTAAATATGTTCTTTTTAATTTCTTAAAAATAAACTTAAAAAAATTTAAAAACAAATAGAATAGTACACAACTCATAAGTCTATAGCTTGATTTGTTCTGCCTGGTTATAGAAATAGGATCGGACACTATGCATTTTTTTGTATCTGCCTTCCTCCTCACCTCATTACATCTGTGAATTTCGTCCATGGTCCTGGGTGGGGTTGGCTTATTTTCACTGTGGTGCAGTGCTACCCTGCATGACATACCACAACTGATTTAGCCATGCTTCTTTAGATGGCCATTTGGGTTGTTACCAATTTTTTGCAAATAATATATACATTTTACAAATAGCATTGTTAAGAACATTCCTCTGTGTGTTTTGATGAAGTTAAGTGCTCATTTACATTCCAGCATATGTTGGATATATGCTTAAGTGTAGACCTGTTTGGTCACAGGCTATGCATATGTTTAGATTTAGTAGATATAGTCAGTTTTCTGAAGAGCTTATACCAAATTACAGTCCCATCAATAATATATGTTACAGTGGCTCCATACCTTTGCCCTTGCCAATATTTTATTCTAGTTTTTTCCTTACATGTTAGCCAATCTGGTATGTGTAGATTAGACCTCATTATGGTCTAAATTTACATTTCCCTGATGACTCATTATTTTGGTCAATTTGGTTTAGTGGCCATTTGGATATTCTCTTTATGAGAGAATACTCCATTCAACTTTTTTACCCTTAAAAACCTTAGGTTATATGTCTTCTCTAGTTGATGTATTTATATTCAGAATAAGAATTCTATGTTGGTTGTATATTTTAGAAATATCTTCTGTGGCTTAAGTTTTTACTTTCTTAATGGGAGTATTTTTGATGAACATAAGTTTTATGAAGTATAATTTATCAGTATTTTTCTTTTTAGTTATAGTCTGTTGATAAATCTATGCTAATTCCAAGGCCATGAATATATCCTCCCATGTTACTTTTAAAACATACCTTCTAGACGGGGCGTGGTGGCTCTTGCCTGTAATCCTAGTACTCTGGGAGGCCGGGGTGGAGGGATTGCCTGAGCTCAGGAGTTTGAGACCAGCCTAGGCAACATGATGAGACATTGTCTCTAGTAAAAATACAAAAATTAGCATGATGTGGTGGCATGCTTGTAATCCCAGCTACTTGGGGGGCTGAGACAGGAGAATTGCTTCAACCCAAGAGGTGGAGGTTGCAGTGAGCTGAGATCGTGCCACTCCACTCCAGCCTGGGTGACAGGGCGAGACTCTGTCTCCAAAAAAAAGCAATAATAAAATATAACATACTTACTGTAGGGAGGAGGGAATACTTTGCACAGCTGGTAGAAGGGACTACCAGCCTTTACAACTCTTAAACGCATGATTCGAAAGTTCCAGCAGATGGTGGTGTTGCTGTATAAAAAGGAGACGCTAAAACCATTAAGTTTGGTACAGTTTTCAAGAGGATTATTTTAAAAGCAGTTTATTTTATCCTGATTTACTTCTATAAAATGAGAAATATACAGCAACAAATTTCACTTCAGATATACTCTTAGATATATGTGGGTTAGATTTCTAACACTGAATATGTTTATTAGATGATTTCATTGGACTCTTCCCTAGGAAGAAGAAGTACCAAAGGAGAAAAGCCCTTTAGAGATGAAGTGAGAAGATCAAGAAGACGAACTGAAATCACAGTTTTATTTGCCTTACAAATTTACTCACCAGGAAAAAAACCAGACTGGGAACATAAATATTTTGGGTCCCAGATCTAGTTTTGGTAGGTTTAGTTTAGAAAGGCACAGAAATGTGTTCACTGTTCTCTTTGGGAACAGAGAGTGCATTTGCTATCCATAATCTGTTGTACAAACATCACCAAGTAAGCAAAGTTTGTGTTTTGAAACTTGAGTTCTTGAAGTACATTTAAGCCACAGTGAGTGTATTAAAATGGCTTCAGATCCCCTCCACTTGTTTATAAATGATTTAACCTCTCAGTCAAATAATAGATAATTCCTAAACATTTTCCAGCCCAAAATTTTAACGCTCTTTTTTTTTCTACTTGTAACATGGGTATTTTACTTTTTCAGAAAAGTGGGAGATAGATCCGTCTGAGTTGGCTTTTATAAAGGAGATTGGAAGCGGTCAGTTTGGAGTGGTCCATTTAGGTGAATGGCGGTCACATATCCAGGTAGCTATCAAGGCCATCAATGAAGGCTCCATGTCTGAAGAGGATTTCATTGAAGAGGCCAAAGTGATGATGTACGTATAGATAACACCCTGGTAATTATTGTACAATGCCCTGGTGTCATGGAAACAACATGAGCTTTGGATGCAGCCATACCTGGATTTGTGTCACAACTTTGCTTAAGCTGGTTGTGTAACCCAGGCACATTATTTGACCTGGGTGTGACCTGGATGAATTATTCTACCTTTCCAAGTCTCAGTGTTCTCATCTGTAAAATGGGATGAGAGTGCCTACCTCACTGCATCAATTTGTGAATTAAATAAGATAATTTTTGTGATAAAGATAAGACAGGAAAATTCCCTTGACCTGTTTGCAGAACCCCTTGCAAAGGGGGTGGCTCATTTACTCAGCTGCTGTGTGCTCAAACCTCTTACGGGAGTGGGGGCATACAAGTGAGCCAGAGTGAATGCTTTTGGGCTCTGGCCCCACCACAGTGTCTAGAAGTGTTACAATTTTCTTTTGGCTTTCCCTTCTGCCGATAGCTAAGTGTTAACCACCTCAGTGGAGAGTCATGGTGACAGCCTTTTGCACCCTGCCCTCTTGATACCTGGGTCCTTGTATGGCATCCAGGAAGAATCAGGTCACATGGACTTGAAGGATGGTGAATGTAGGCATTTTAGCTAGTGATGGAGTTGGCTCTCAGTGGGAGGAATGGGAAGCTAGAAAGGGAATGGTGTGGGAAGATGATCTTCCCTGAGAGTTCGACCGTTCTGTGGCCAATCTCCTCTCTGATTGTTGCCAGGTGAACTCATCTCAATATTCAGACACTCCTCCTCCTCTCTTCTTTTCTGCTGTCACTCTGCCAGTGAAGCTTGGGGTTTATATGGGTACAGGATAGGGGTGTGGCAGACTAGAGTGGTCTTGGAAAGGGCAACATCTGGGCGTGAAAACAAGAATGCCTGTTCCCATTTAGGGCTGCAGGTTTCCAGGCTTGAAGGTGAGGATTTTGCTGGGAACTGCCCTCTTCTACCCAGTATTTCCCTGCTTCCTGTCCATATCAGTGACAAGCAAGTGTGTTCTTTCAGCTTAATAATAGGTGCTTTACAAGTACTCTTTTATCCCCCCTTTTCCCAGAAGCAAAAGTGGTTATGTCTTGGTAGTGATATACTACTCATTTTTTGAAAGGGCATCCTCCAGTGGCCAAAAAGAGTTAATGTTTTTGTAAGGATAAAAAAGTATTTGCTTTCAGAGGACGTTAAGAGTTTAGAGCTTTAAAAGAAGTGGCTCTTTGTAGACCATTAGACACAACTCTTCTGTGATTTCCCAGGACAGCATTTTGACTTGGTTGAACCCATTTTTGTGGTTCACAACTGTAACAGCTTGAGCTGGACCAGGACAGCCAATAATTAGACCATAGTTCAAATTAACATTCTTTAAATGTTTGTTCAACATTTATTTAGAGGAATAACAATGCTGTGAAGAACAACAACTCCAGATGGCATTATTTAGATTCTGCTCTGTTTTCCAGAGAAATGTATTCCTGACCCACAGTTGCAGACTCCACGTGGAATAACAAACAACAATAACAATCAGAGGCGATTAACTGGACCCATTCTCTTTTGAAGGCAGACAGGATACCCTTGGGGGCTCTCAACTCCTATCCCAAGGATCCTATCAAAATATTCTTTCCATTCTCTTACAATAGAATGAATTCCAAGAGAAGTTGTTACAAACACAATTTCCCAGTGACATAAATTCCAAGTGAAGTTGGAATTTATGTTACAATTTCCAAGTGACATCAGCTTCCCAAGGATGTTTTTGTGTGCCTAGATGCCCCAGGCACCTATCTCTGTCTGGCCTTTTTTTCCTGTAACTATCTGTATCTGACCATGGTTTTTCTATACCTAAAGGACAAAAATTGTATTTCTGTGTTGGATTAAATAGGCATAATAAAGAAAGAATGAATGGGAGACCAGTGATTCAGGGAGAGTTGAAATCATATTTGAAACTCTATCAAACAAGAAATAATTGAAGACGTTTAATGTCATGATGAGAGAATTCTTGAAAGGTACAAACCTGATTGGGCATTTGAGGTCAGGATCTTTGAGGACAGTATTTTCCCTGATTCATTTTGGGAGGCGAAGGTGGGAGGATCACTTGAGCCTAGGAGTTTGAAACCAACCTAGGTAAGATGGCGAAACCCTGCCTCCACAAAAAACACAAAAACTAGCCAGGCATAGTATTGGGCACCTGTAGTCCCAGCAACTCAGGAGACTGAGGTGAGAGGATCAGCTGAGCTCGGCAAGTTGAGGCTAGAGTGAGCCATGATGTCACCACTGTGCTCCAGCCTGAGTGACAGAGTAAGAACCTGTCACACACACACACACACACACACCCCCCTGACTTTTTAAAAAGTGAGGCAGAAAATCTTCAATTCTAACATCCTCTTTATCTTTAAAATAGTTGACATGCATTTAACATACTATCTACCAAGTATATACAGCTTTGCACATATTAGCTCCTTTCTGTGTGTGGTTGAAAATCACTTCTTTCAGGAGGTCTTCTCTGACTATTCTGTTTAAGTTGGCATACCCATGCCAAATGCTTTCTGTTATATCACCTTGTGTTAGTTCCATCAAAGTACTTGTCATACTCTGAAGCTTCATGTGTAGTTGTTTTATTTCTCTCCTGCTAGGATGGAAGCTCTATAATAATAGAACCTCCTAATTATTTCTCCTGTTCAACCTGGTGAGTGCTAAAAGGATGACTAGCATGTAGTTGGTGCTCAAAAAACATATGTGGATTACTGAATGAGTTAACGAATCCTCACCACAATTCTATGAGGTAGCTTCTATTAAGATCCCAGCTTTATAGATAAGAAAGAAAATTTAGAAAGCTTATTGTAAACCAAAATGTATCTGAGACAAGTCTTAATTAATTTAGACGTTTAATGGGCCATGCCCATGACAGCCTCAGGAGGTCCTGATATATGTGCCCAAGGTGATCAGCCTACAACTTGGTTTTACACATTTTAGGGAGACATAAGACATCAGTCTATGCATGTAAGATATATGTTGGTTTGGTCTGGAAAGGCAAGACAGCTGGTAGTGGTAAAATGGGAGAGTTTGGCCCCCACTTGCAGGACATACGACAGAGGTGCGTCTCTCTGTTCAGCCACCATGATCTCAAAACTTTTGCAGGAGGGGAAGCAGGCAGATGCGCAGGTGCAGGAACAGGGGCAAGCACTTTTGAGCTTTAGCCCCACAGCAGCATCTAGGGGTGGGTGTCTGCAACCCTCAAAGCCCAAGTGGGCCTGTGTTGTAGTGTGCTCTTTTAGACTTGTGGTTCACAGATGGCTTAAGGGTTAACTAGCTCAGTGGACTCTCTGCCTTTTTGCAAGGGCAGGGGGCCAGTGTTACAGCTTTCTGTATCCCAAGCTCTTGTCCAGTGTCCTGGAAGATCGGGTCACACACAAACTTGAAGGATGAATATGGGGTTTTATTAAGTGTTGGAGGTGGCTCTCAGCAGGATGGATGGAAAGCTCGACAGGGGTTGGGGTGGGTAGATGACCTGCCCCTGGAGTTTGGCTGTCTAATAGCTGATTCTCTGACTGTCCCCAGCTAAACTCCTCCCAATGTTCCTTCTCTTCTCTCTTTTGCTGTTCTGTTCTGCCAGTTGTCTGTTCATCTCCTCGTCTGCTTCCGGAGCCTGGAGTTTGGAGTTTATATGGGTACAGGATAGTGGGTGTGGTGGGTCAAAAAGCAACTTTTGGGGCACAGAAACAGGAATGCCTGTTCTCACTTAGGGCCATCAGTATCTAGGCTGAAGGGAGAGGTCTTTCCTGGGGAACTGCCCTATTCTACCCCGTATTTCCCTGTCTCCGGTCTATACCAGTGGGGGCTTCCATGTCATAGGCAGATTCAAAGATTTTCTGATTGACAGTTGGTTATTATCCAGAGGACTGGAATCAATGGAAAGGAATGTCCAGGTTACTGTAAAGAGCTGTGGAGACCAACAAAGATGGTCTGTGTTTATTAGGAAGATGAAACTTCCAGGTAGAAGATTTCAGAGAAAATAGATTGTAAATATTTCTTATTAGGCTTTAAGAGTCTGTTCTATCAGTCTCAATGCTTGTGTTGATGTTAATGGTTATGAGGCATGTCCAACTCCCTCTTCCCATCATGGCCCGAAGTAGTTTTACAGGTTAACTTTGGAACAACCATGGCTAAGAGAAAGAGTCCATTGAGATGGTTGGGGGCTTAGAATTTTATTTTTGGTTTACATTATGTAATTTGACTGTAGTCCCACAGCAAAACATTGTTAGAGCCTCTAATTGAAATCAAAACTGTGAACTGTCTGGGCACAAAAACCATGATCTTAATGAACATAATTATTGACACATTCTTAGAAAACTAATATATGTCAGAGGGCAAGAGATGGCAAGAGAATGGTTTCAGAATACATTTTTGAGATAAAGTCATCAAGACTTGCTGATAAATTAAATGTGGCAGGTAGTGGGAAGAAACCAGAGGAGCAAAGATGACTCTAAGATTTTGGTGTACCTTATTATATTAGGTGAAGGCCGGCACCATTTACAAAGATGGGGTAAGATCAAACAGGTTTAGGGGAAAATCAAGGATTCTGCTTTGGACATGTTAGATTTGAGAAGCCTGTTATTTATTAGACACCAAGTATGATCAGGTAAATATATTAATCTGGGGTTCAGGAATAAGGTCAGAATGGAGAGTATTAACTTGAGAGTGATCACCAGAGATGATACTTAAAACCCTGAAACTTAATGCGATTACTTAGGGAAAGAGAATAATTAGAATAGGAGAAATGGAGAAGCCTGCAAAGTGTCCAAAGATATTTAAATAACAAATTTAAATGTGTGTTTGCCCTATGATAAATCCCTACATACTTGTCTAAACTGAGAAATAACGTGTATTAAGAAGTCCTAAAGTTATAACAAACAAGAAGGTAGATCTTTCTGTTTGCATCTTTCTATGCTTGTGAGAAATATTTGTCTTGTTAGACTCAATCACATATGAGAATTTATTTGTTTTTGCCTGATTTCTGATAAAGGTTTGCCTTATTTCTGTTAGATTTTTACCAGCAATCTTGACAAGCAAATGCAGTAATATTTCAATTCTCAAATGCTTCCCTGTGGATATCAACTTGGTGCATTTCCTGTGGTAAATTAATATTTTATCCCAAGACTTGCTTTTCTGCAATTACTCCATACACATGTCAATTGCACCCATTAATTGAAAGTACATTTTATGAATTCAAAAAGTGAATCAGACAAAATATATATAATATATATCTCCAAATTAAGATAATCTTAAGTTCTCTGAATGCTTCTTTTCCCCATTAACTGGAGTGTTTTCACAAGCTAATTTTATGGTAACGAGTCAATAATCATTCTTATACATTGTGTTAAGGTACACAGTCTTCCCAAGTCACTGATTTTATTTTACCTTTATGAATGAAAAGAATGAAAAGAAGTGATAACTTTTCAAGATACTTTTGACACAGAGAACTGGTATATTATACGTCTTCTAAAATTATAAGCATTGATTTGAAGCTTATTTTCCACAATGACTAGTTGGCATAAAAGGCTTTTAGAGATTAATACATTTTCCACACACACACACACACACACACACACACACACACACACACAAAATAACAATAAATGTTTGAAGTCTAGATTAACTAAAAAGTTCTAGGTATGTTTTAATAGACAACATTCAAGGAGTCGTGTGTGTGTGTGCAATTACTAACTACACTGCAAGTTTTCATGTTGGTAAATGTTTTTTAGTTTCCAACTTTATCTAGAAATTTCCTTTTAAAGAACTTCATGCTTTAGAATTTAATTTTTGTTTTCTTTTATAGTCACTCTTTCCTCCCTCCTGTCTGTCCAGAATTTTTCATCTGAGCAGCTGCAGGTAGGAAAGTTGGAATTCAAGGAACAGAAAAGGAAATTTGCTTGACCTAGCAGGGAGAAACAGTGATGAAGAAACAAAAGGATTATAAAACGAAGAGGAGAAAAATAAAATGCAGACACATACAATATGGGACATGTAATATTCTGTCTCCACACTGCCTTTGGCATTACCGTTTAAACTCTTGACCCCACATTCTCAGTGCATTCAGTGGCAAGGAAACTGCAATACTTTCTCTGTGTTTGGGTTGATTTTTAACTTATCTTGATAATGAGAGTGATAAATAGATGGTAAATATTACCAGTTGTGTTCAAACACTTTAAAATGCAAACATAATTCTGCTCACTGGTATATGTTTTTCTTCACCAGGACATTATCTCATTCAAAGCTAGTGCAACTTTATGGGGTCTGTATACAGCGGAAGCCCCTTTACATTGTGACAGAGTTCATGGAAAATGGCTGCCTGCTTAACTATCTCAGGGAGAGAAAAGGAAAGCTTAGGAAGGAAGTGCTACTGAGTGTATGCGAGGATATATGTGAAGGAATGGAATATCTGGAGAGAAATGGCTATATTCATAGGGATTTGGTAAGTATGGTGTAAATTCATTTTTTTATGTATCATACCTATATTCAGAAGGATGTGACAATTACTTTCAATACTTTGAATAATGTATCCTTGAGTTAATTTTTAAGCATTTACCTATTCATGAAATTTGTTGTGAAATGTAACTTTGTTTTTTATTGTTTGTAATTGCCCATTGATTCTGTAGCTGTAAAGCCTCAATGGGTTCACCTTGCCCGCTGTCTAGACAGAGCCAATTTAACAAGACAGGGGGGTTTCAACAGAGAAAGAGTAATTCACACAGAACTGGCTGTGCAGGAGAACAGAGTTTTATTATTACTCAAATCAGCCTCCCCGAGCATACAGGGATCAGAGTTTTCAAGGACAACTTGGTGGATGGGGGTAAACTGGTGAGCCAGGAGAGCTGATTGGTTAGGTAGGAGATGAAACCATTGGAAGTTGAATCTGTCAATTTTTCCTTGTGCTGAGTCAGTTCCCGGGTGGGGTCCAGAAGATCAGATGAGCCAGTTAATTGATCTGGGTGGTGCTAGTTGATCCATCAGGTGTAGGATCTGCAAAATATCTCAAGCACTGATCTTAGGAGCAGTTTAAGGAGAGTAAGAATCTTGTAGCCTCCAGCTGCCTGACTCCTAAACCATAATTTCTAATGTTGTGTCTAATTTGTTAATCCTGCAAAGGAAGTCTCGTCCCCAGGCAAGAGGGAGGTTTGTTTTTTTGGGAAAGGGCTGTTACCATCTTTGTTTTAAACTGTATAAATTCCTCCCAAAATTAATATAGCCTATGCCCAGGAATAAACAAGGACAGCTTGGAGGTTAGAAGCAGGATGGAGTCAGTCAGGTTCTCAGTTATAATTTTGCAAAGGCGATTTCTTAGCCAAGATTTCTTTAGCCATATTCTAAATATGCCTTGAACTAATTAACCAACTACCCTATTATGTGACTAAAACTGATTTCCTTTCCTTTCCTCTCTCCCTTATTCCTTCTCTTCCTTCTTCTTTCTTTCCTTCCTCTTTTTCCCTTTCAACCCATATTCAAACATGTATTGAGTGCCTAGTATATGCCAAGTATTCTGCTAAGCACTGGTGATACAACAGTGAAGAACAAGTTCTGGTTTTAATCTCCAACTTTATCTAAGGAATGTCACCTAGGAGCATAACTGCCCCTGATGTAGAGGTAGTTTGGCCCTAACAGGATTGCAAGAGCATTACCAGCATTATTGAAGAAACTAAGAATGCTAAATGATTTTTTTCTGTAATGTTCAGAACATTCCTGTTTAACTAAATGATTGTCTTGCTGCAAACCATATGCTAACAGCACTGTTTCCCTGCATTGCTACCTACACTTCAGTAACACTTTCTGTCCATTCCACATTTATTCATGATATTCCTACTATTCCTTGATGTCCTTATGACCTTCCATGTTTCATTTCTAAATCTAAAAATTAACTCAAATGAGAACTGGAGAAGTCTATGAGAAATCCCTGATATCGCCCCCTGGAAGTAATCCTGTGCTTCCCTCACCCATGACCGGTATGATCAGATTACTCACTGTCCAGCCTGGTGTATTCTGGGGAGAAAAAGGGGGCATAGTCACATTGGCCCCAGCACACCTTGGGAAGTATAGTTATCCTACCCATGACTTAGAACACTCAGGGAATTTGCTATTTACTGCTTCATCCAATAGTTAATTATTTACATCGTTTATACAAATACTAGAGTCTATCTTATTAGACTTAGAGTCTTTGAGATCAAGGTCTAGATAGCTGAGATGCCACTCAGTGATTAAGAACACAGGTTGCAAACAGAGGTTCTCAAACTTCAAACTTTGATGTTCATTAGAATTACTTGGAAGCTTTTAGAAAAATCGCAGTAGCTAGGCCAAACCCCAGACCAATTAAATCAGAATCTCTGTGGCTGAAACCCAGGCATCAGTATCATTTGAAAATTCCCCTGATGAGCCCCATGTGAAGTTGAGGTTGAGAACTACTGCACTGGAGCCAGGCTAGCTGGGTTGAAATATTATCTCTGTTTCCTACTAGCTGTGTGACCTTGGGCAAGCTAGTTAACCAGTAAGGTGTTATTAATTATAGCACCTTTATCATATGGGTTTGTTGGGAGAATTACATGAATTAATAAACAGTGTCTAGCATGTAGAAGAGCTCAGCAATGCTAAGTATTGCTTCTACAGCAATAGATTGTTTTTAAAAAAATTTCTTATGGAACATTCCCCAGTATCCAGCACCTAGGAGCAATGAGCAAATTTTTGAATGGATGGATATGGTATCAACTTCACCTACCTCACTTTTCTAGTCTTTGCAGTTTGTCTTTTTAGATAACAACTGGTTGACAGTTCTGGTCATTTTATTTGCTCTAAATGCCTTCTCAGAGGTCCTCCTATCCCTGTTCTTTTTTCCCTTGATTGCTCGTTTTCTTTTGTGTTCTATTTCATCTACCTATATGCTACTTATAATATATCAGTGAACAATGAGCCTTTTCCCTGTCAACTATTCTTGTGGTTTGGCCATTGCTAGGACTTCCTGCATCTTCTAAACTGGTTCCCTGTGATTTATTATTTCAAGTTTTTTGCTTTTGTTGCTTGACTAATTGAACCAGAAATTAGCTGAAAACAGGAAAATTCTGTCAAATAGCTTATCTAGTTTACCTACATGAATCTAAATAATCAAATCAATGATTTTCTTGATTAAGTTTATGACAATGGTTTGGACATCAAATGTATTGTTTCTACATAGCATTATATTTAGTTCATTGTGATAATTTTAAGAAATATGAAATTATCACTGTAAATAGTTATCTTGAGTGAAATATGTTTTAAAATATAATTTTAATTTTGATTATGTAGTAGAGATCCCAAAGATATAAAATGGCTATGCCTTATCTGTTTTGTATTTTGGGCTCTCCTATAAAGACAAGTTAAAAAATTACACAATTTTTCTATGCCAAGATTCATAGTTGTATCATCTTTTAGATTGAATTAATCATCATTAATAATATGAAGGCAGGCTGGGCATGGTGGCTTATGCCTGTATTCCCAGCACTTTGGGAAGCCAAGATGGGTGGATTATTTGAGCCTACGAGTTCAAGACCAGGCTGCATAACATGGTGAAACCCCATCTCTACTAAAAATACAAAAATTAGCTGGGCATGGTGGCATGTACCTGTAGTACCAGCTACTTGAGAGGCCAAGGTGGGAGGATGGTTTGACCTCAGGAGGGGAAGGCTGCAGTGAGCCAGCATTATGCCATTGCACTCCAGCCTGGGTGACAGAGCCAGATCCTGTGTCAAAAAA